TTCACAAGTAACGGGGGCCCCTTGCCCTTTTTTTTTTTTTTCTCTCCCTCTCTCTTCTTGAGGTGTGCCCCAAGATCGTGCCAAGATTTCATCACCACGACGTCGTTAAACACGTTACGCTGATACGGCTTTACTCAACAACTCTTCCTTCCGGAATTCCCTCTTTTCACCGATGAGTGCACTCTGATCTATGATAGATAGATCAGACTACTGTTCGTTTCGTACGTACCAGTGTTTACCAATGTTGTTTTTTTTTAAGTTACGATATCCTTTCGTAATGTTCAAGTAATTTTATATGGGAGATTGTTTTTTTTTTTTTTGTACGTTATCTTATAAGGAAATTTATTTAAAAAATTTTAATGAAAATTTGTGTGTGCGTAAAGAATAATGGATTATACAGAATATTGGTATATTCATCTTGAAGGATCCAGAGAATAAAATAAATACAATTAAAATAAAATTAATATATAAAAATTTTAATTGAGCTTTGTTTGCAGTAATTATAAAGCAATTTAAGTTTGCGTTAAACGAGACTGGGCGGAGATAGAGCTATTCGGTCTAATGACACGACACGTGACCATTAACTACTAGTGCTCTGTGTACTTGTATATATATTTATTCGTCAAATGCATTGCTTTAATCGTCTATTACTTCTATCTTTTTACTTTTTAAACACTCGAAATATGGTATATTTTTCTACAAAAAAAAAATTCATAGACAAAATTATTCAACGTACGATTTTAATACGATTGATTATAAAATATAAATTTTCTAAATTTCACAAAAATATAATAAATTTTCCTCTTTCAACGCCTGATATATTGTGCATTGTAAAACTGTCATAGCCACGCAATAATTAAAAAATTTTACGATTTTATCCTCCTTTTACCTAATTTATTTTTTAACATGATATCATTCGTTATTTAACGATCGACGCGTCATTCACTGCTTTTATAGCACCACGACCCAATTAAAATAAGGTAATTGAAGACGCGACCGCTTAAACGATTTTCTTGTTTAATTAACGCCAACCAGGAAGTCGTTCAATTAATTAAAGCATTGTTTCCCTTTCGAACGCATACCACTTAAACCCTATAATAAGTCAATCGATGTAATTTCAATAACGTTTTCATAATTCCTCCTGATCAAATCTCGAATTATTTGTTAAGTGTAACAATCAAATATTTCCCTCACAAACTTAGCAAACTTATCTTAAAAATCACTAGTGTATTTGATTTTCATCTACTCTCCAATAATTCCCTTCTGAAAATCACGAGATGTCACCAGAATCGTTCGTAACCAGAGAGAAACTCGACTCAGGAACGAGATTTCAATTTCAGATACCCATATACCACTCTCACAAGCGTAGCGACGACGTATTCATTCTCTGAAATTCATTCCCTCCCACACACACACACACACACACACACGCTTCGCGTATAAAATCGAAGATTTAATTGCCATCTTCCATCTCTCCCTCCCTTTTTTTCTTTTTCCTCTTTTTTCCTTTTCGAACCCACTCCCGTATGCGATCGATAAGATTCCACGAGCGCGCTTCCACCATCGCGTTTTATTGAAAATCGTGAAAGCGCGGCGCGCGAAACGCAAAAATCGGCTGGGATAAGAAAAGGAGAGAAGATAGGCGAATCTTCCGCTCGGCGGAGCGTGAGCCGATAAAACGTATCGTTGCTCCGCTCAAGAATTCCTTTTCCTCGTTGTTGTTGTTGTTGTTGCTTTTCCTACGCGGAGCCAAGGCCTTTCGCGGCGTTTCTTCGCGGTATAAGGCACTTTACGTGTACTCGACCTGGCAATATACTCGCGAGAGAGGAATGGAAGCCTGTGCAATTTCCTGATCGAAGCGCTCGAGATGTTTGTTGCTTGGCGGGGAATCTGTTTCGATCGGATTCACGCATCTGTTTCTTAGAAGAAACATTCTTACTGTAATTGTATGAGCCGATTGTGATCTAAGTTTTTGAGATTCCATTTTCTATTTTGATTTTTTTTTTTTTTTAATTTTGATTTAGTTTGATGCGAGAAATAATTCTTGTTTGTTACTTATGAAAGTAAATAAATGTAGATGTATTTTTATATCTTCGTTATTTTCTCGAACTGTGTTAATGAGAGGAAGGCAGAAAAAAGAAGAATGTATAATGTGATATTGCCAAGTATATTTATATATGTTTCGATACACTTGTTATTTTATTTTTATCGTCTTTAGCTTCTATAAAGTATGAAATTTCGTCTTGCGCATTGTAATCGCGTAATTGGTGTAGTAATACGAGGAATTGGCGAAGAAGAAAGGGAGGAAAAAGAATGCCTTGTTAGTTAGAATTCCCAACAAACTCGTTTCTCAAATGGAGAAATGATACGTTGCAAGAGATCTACACTGTTGTTC